TCTTATGGAAATTTTTTTTATTCACTGATTGATGTGTTCAAATCGTTCTCGTGACTGTTATGTGCTAAAAGTGTCATTTTGCTTTGTTCTTCTCAATTTTGCTTCTCTTATGCACGTGCTCTTTGATTATGTTCGTTCGACTATTAATCATCAACAGTTTCTTAAAATCATGACAAATTTTGTTATTCAGGGACAAAAAGCTCTTCAGTGAGAGAATTTCACTCGATAAAATGTTCTATTGAATGATATTTAAATTTCCGAGGTTCACGACTAGATCTAAATGTACATGCGGTTTAAGTATGGGACTCTTTTTATCTATTTCTGACCATGCAATCCTGAACATCTTTTTTTATCTACTAGTTCCTCATAATGAATCAACAATATTTTAGCAATGACTNTTGATCTCTATGTTGATCAATGATGCACTATTATAAGTGTGCCATATTCAAGCTGTTTGTATCGTCAGGTTTGTTCAGGAATAGAAGGGTCTCTTCAGATCATCTGAGAAAACATGTATTCCGCTATGTTGAATGTGTTTCTTTTACCCATGGTAATACAGTTGTAGCATGACTTCTGAAGGTATTTCATAGTGCGTTCACCTAGCAGGAAAAGACTCAATCTGCAAAGTTGTTATTACTCCTCAACAGAATACGTATGATATTATCACTGATTATATGCAGTAATATTGACAGTTAGTGATGCAAAGATAATGTCAACGTTAAAATGATGATGATGTTTGAAATGATGATGTTTCAGTGGGAATCTGGTATTGGGAGGTGCTCGTTTTCGTGCAAATCAAGCGAATCCAAGAAATACGATCATTGACTACGTGTTGTGTGCAGAGTTAAGTGGATCTGATGTGAGCAGTGAGAAGAATGATCAAATTCTGATGAAATTCATGATTGAAGATATTGAATGTGTTAAGAATCAAATTCAGCACATTCGAGTTCGAGTGAGGAAATACTCGTGCGATGAAGATGAGCAGCATTTGTTTTGATTTTTATTCTAATCTTGTTATTCATCATTTTTATGCGCATCATGAACCAAACTATTAATGGCGACCGATGCTCGATGATTCACTAACCAGTTTCTTCACTTCTATCACTTTGTTTCCTTGTATCGTTGAAGCTCGCTAAAAAGTATCGACGTTAATTGTTAATGATATTCGTTAATGTTGAGTTTACACCCGTTCAATCAGCTGATCGAGCAACAGTATTAATGAGACGCGTAAAGAAGAATTATCACCGGCTCATCGTTTTACACTCTTTCTTTTTGAATCAGCTGATCGAAATACGCTAATACTGCAATTTTGAATCAAAAAGCGAAAATACGCTAATTAATCGAAATACGCTAATCACAAAAAAACTAATATTAATTAAGTTTTGTTGATAATTGTTTTGATCGTATTTACTTGTAATTCATGCTGAATTTCAGTGAGTTGTTATGAAATGTAAATTTATTCGTGCATTTCATTATCATATAAATGATTTGTAAAGCCAACAAACTCAATTTCCACATTCACAATCAGATTTTTTCTTGTAATCGTAATACATTTATTGTCGTAATGAAAATCCTATAACAGACTTTAAATGTCAAATTCAAATGTATGCTTACAAAATCAGTTCGTTATGGTTAGGTAGAACGTAAAACTCGTATGGGTGTAGCACGATAGCAGATTCTATCTGCAATTAGCTTCGTTTAGACACAGGCACAAGCTTAAGCATAGTTTTAAAAGAGAACCTGAGTCTGAACATGAATCCGCTTCGAATGGAAAAATGATTGTTCGGAAACACGGGAAGGCCAGTAAACTAAGTAATACAGATGGAAAGTTTTTGGGAAATCTTGGACTAGACCTTCATAAGCATGAAAAGATAGATAGTCAAATTTTGCCTATCTGTGCTTCCGTTTTAATTGATTAAAATGTATATGGATGAGCGTCACTGCGGTAGTTGAGATGGCTTTATGAAAATATCTCGTCAAGAAAGCCGAACTGCTCAGCAAAACATGTTTTTCTGAATGTAGAGATTCCAATGGATCGAATGGTGCACAACAATGCATACAGCGTTGTGAACTGCAAGCATACAGTGCTGTGCAAGCAAGATGCATATTAATGCACCTCGCTTACACATTGCTATAAGTTTACCTCAAACTTGGGTAATTGAATCAAACCTGTAAGCACATACAGCGCTCTGCAATGAACTGAATGCATCGGTATGCTTTCAGTTCATTTGCATTAGTTTGCATATGAAATGCATAGAAGATGGCAAATTGCGTAGTTTTGGGAAAACAGCTATGTCTTTTCATCTAATCATAATTGCTCGGCAATANGTACAATATTGTTAAAGCAGAGATTCTGAGTAATCGGATAGTGTAAAGAAATTCACATGTTACCGGGTAAACTTAAAAGTACGGGCACCTTGAATATGGTAAAGATAGTAACCTCTACAGAGCAATAGTATTGTGTTGATATTGATCTATGGTGATAGAATGTATGTGAATGAGCGACTTTGCGCTTGCTGTTGATATAGCTTTATGAAAATAGTCATAACTCCTCAACAATACGGAATTACTCGACAAAATATATGTCTTTCTGGATTTAGAGATTCAGATAGATCGAATAGTGCACAAAAATTCATATGTTACTGGGCAAACTCAAGAATACGGTAAGCTCGAAGACAGCAACAAGTATAGAATTGAGAAAATAGCTTTATCTCCTCATCTAATCATAACTGCCCGGCAAAGTATATGATATTCTGAAAGTAGAAATTCTAAGCAATCGAATGGTGCAAATAAATTCCTACGTTACCGAGCAAACCTGAGAGTACGGTTACCTTGAACATTGATAACCTCTATAGAGCTATAGTAACATATTGATATTGATCTATAGTGACAGAATGTATACGAATGAACAACTTTGCGCTTGTTATTGATATAGCTTTATGAAAGTAGCCATATCTTCTCAAGAAAGCGGAATTGCTCTGCAAAATATATGTTTTTCTGAATGTAGAGATTCAGATGGATCGATTGCACAGCAATAAAGGTACGCTCGGGATCTTCTGTTTTTGTTAGAGTACAAAAGTAAATGAATGTTTGGAACTGCTACCCACCCGACAGGATAAACTCATAACCAATGTATACACTAACTTGTAGCTGAGATTGAGCCATTAACATCAACTTAATCAAGTTTGACTGAAAACGTTGAGTTATAAGAATTTCGCTATTTCGAATGATCAGTGATGGTGTTCAATAGCACGATTAGTATAAACTGGAGTATTTGAAATTCTCTCTGGTTTGATAGGAATAATTAGTGAGGAAGATCCACATCATCTTGTAGCCGAGAATCACTAGTTTGCAAACATTTATTAAAGTTTTTTCAGCATTTATTCTAGTCCACTGCACCAAACATTTTAGCGAATGGTGAAATGCGCAGTTGTCGCTAAAAAAATACGGTAGAACCATTTGGACATATTCCTAACGATAAACATTGGCACTTTACTGAGGATTTTTTCTCCTTTCGCTTTTCTTTCATTCAGTTTGCAAAATCGTCAAGGCTTTAGACTTTATTGCTAGAATTGGATAGGGCGGAAGAGCGGAGGGCGATGAAAAATGATCATGATGCAATGGCGATTGAGTTTATGGGAGGGTGGAATGCGAGTAAGGCTGGCGGTAGTTGCAAATTATCAAACAGCATCAAATATTACTCGGTTGTGCTTTGATTGCACCCGGGTTTGAAAGTTGCAGGTTTGGGTGAGAAGTCAAGGAAATATTTTCAGCTTGTCCGAGAGCTTAATTCTTTTCAATGGTGATGGTGATGTATAGGCGGGCGGAACCTTCGCTGGAGAGCGAACGGTTAGTGGTGAAGACCATGGTTCAAAGTCGCGTGGATACTTGGAAGTTTTTTTGATCAAAATTTTTCAAACCTGTATTTTTTGACCAATATGTATTTTCAGTTATTTTCATGAGTTATTTAATGTCTTGGTTTCGGTAGCAAATTTTCCGGTGTCCATTTGTCTAGAACTTCGAATTGTTTCCACTGAATGAGATCAACTATCCTGCTCATGCTTTATATTTTCAGCTATTGTCACGTTGGATATCGTAAAACATTGTATATTGCTTGCATTCCAAAAGTTTCGAATCCAAAATTTACCATTCTTTGTAATATTCGTCTGTTGTGTTTATGAAGCGATGGTAAAAGTGTTAACGTGAGTAAATGTTTGAGCAGCGTTGTTCAATTTCGTTGACTTTGCAAAGCAAAATTTAGATTGATCTTGATAAAAGTAAAGCATTGTATTAGATGAAAGGATTTCTTTCATGATCTGAAGTATATCTTGAATCCAGTCGAAAATTTTTGCAAAAATACAGTTCATTTAACAGTTTTGAAGGAATGTTCACCAGTAAACTAAAGTTGATGAGACCTTAGCTAATAATTACAGAAAATCCATGCAATTCGTCTTCGTAACCTCCCCGAGTTCATCAAAATTTATCATAAAACACTTTTCAATCAGAATTTTGATTGCAAGTTAATGTTTGTTTGACGAAATTCAATCAAATTCTCGATTGGTCGTTCAATGTGATGTACTGAAATACTTCAGTCATTCAGTCAATTCTTTCAGTTTTTGCTAAGTTAATGCAGTCAATTCAAGCAATTCATTAAATCAGTTTTCTCTTCATTGAAAATAAGATCCATTACAAAACTTTTTCGAGTAGCATCAAAGCAGAAAGAATTTTAGCGGAATGAATTTCAATTTCAATGTGTCAGTTGAATGATTCGAAATGTATTCTGCTTCAGCTGCGTACTGAATTAGGAATGATTAAATGAATGTGAGAATTCTTAGCAATCGAACATATAACTTTCAATATGCGATATTTTAATCTGGTCAGGATGAATGGAGAAGCAATTTGGTCTTTAACTTTTGAATGTTGAATCTTGATTCAGCAAGACATTTACTCGTAGATACACGCCCACCCGTGGAACCTACAGATGCTCTTATCTCCATAGAAATGTATTACTGATAAATATGCAGACCAAATTCGGAATAATCCGAGATACCCTTCATTTGCAGTCAGCTGACCTCACTGATGTTCATCTTATTGACAGTGAAATGGACGCATTCGATCTTCATTGTCGCACACAATATAGTGCTTCCTGATATTACTTTCCTCACCATTGACGAGTCTAATGTCGTCAGATGTAAACTCATTATAATGACAATCCATTTTGCGTGGATTTGACAAGCATAACGCATTTAATCGAATAAAATGACAGTAATGTCATGAATGAGCAATTTATTGTTGAATGATATGCAGAGTGCAATATTGTGATTGTGAGCTTTACGCTTACTCTGTTTTCCTATTCTATTTTAAGAAGTGTTGCTTTAGAGAATAAAGTGGACAATTGAAACGAGCTCAAGTTTTACCTTATTGTTAGACATAAAAAAAGAAATGGCNGAGAATAAAGTGGACAATTGAAACGAGCTCAAGTTTTACCTTATTGTTAGACATAAAAAAAGAAATGGCAGTTAAAATAAAGAAGTTAAAATCAACTGCCATTTCTTTTTTTATGTCTAAGAATAAGGCAAAACTTGAGCTCGTTGCATTTGTCCACTTTGTGTGTTAGACGTAAAGTCAATTGTCAATGTAATTGTGCAAGAAAACATCAATCAACACGCAAAAATTTTATTTCTTAATGGTGATCATTTATGGACTGGCTTTGGCAAACAAACAGAACAATAAAAAGCTCCATTCATTTCAGCAAATTTTTGGCTGGCACGGTTGGTGGATATTCAGAATAAAGTAATCCGTTCTTAGCAGGTAAAAGATAATGATTCGATGAGCTGAAGAGGATATGGGAATGGGAACGCCTTCAAGAGACACACTGACTTCTTTAAATGCAAACGAATCAATGGTTTGCAACTTAAATGAACGACTCCTTCAATTTCTTCTCGTATTTCACATTACACACAAGAAATTTCATTCGTGAACGTCAGTTTCCTAGTTCGTTTATGAATTTTTAGCGAATATTTTCACGGATTTTCATCTTTCTTTATCTATACTTAAATATTGCTGCACAACTATCCTAGTGCCCAACCAAGTTGCCATGAAATTTCATAACTGAAAAATATTCCCGGAAATCTGAGAATTTTCTTCAGGTTCAAAACCTTCTCACAACCAAGCCCCTGTAATTTCTCAGCGCAGTTTCTAAAATCTTGTGCTATCAGTCTACGTAAATGATTTCTGATCTCCCTCACAATCAACATGTGATGCAAAAAATGCTCACATTTCTTCTTCTACGTTAATTCCAAATGATAAATGATCTCAAAACGCCTTGGAATTCATTCTCAAACAAAGAGATTAAAATACA